TAAACACTAACCCTGAACTCTAAACCCTAAGCCCTAACCTAATTTGACTAACTGAGCACCGGGCTGGCGCTGCCGGGGCCGGTGGGGGCTCGCAAGGAGGAGCCGGCAGCTCTGAGGACATGTCGAGATCTCCGACGTCCGACCTCAGCAGCGATCTGGGGTTTAGGGTTTAGGGGTCTTTAGGGTTTAGGGTTTGGGGGGGTTTAGGGGTTTAGGGTTTAGGGGTTTAGGGTTTAGGGTTTAGGGGTTTAGGGATCTGGGCTAGGGTTGGTAAAAGGAAACTACAGGTGGGGAGTTGAGGGTATATGGGGCTTCTATAAGGCTTCCGTAAGGTAAAAAGACCTTCTAAAAGGCTCCTATAACGGTAACTACCCACCTGAAAAGGTCCCTAGATTTAGGGTTTCGGCGCTCGCACTCGGACAAGGCAAGCAAGGCTGGTGGTTTTGTCCCTCTCGCATGGCTGCCGTGGCTTTCAAGGCTGAGTGCAAACTCAGTAAGCAAAATCCACTTCGACGGCTATTCCATGGAGGTTTGGGTTTGGGGTATTAGGGCTCCTGATAACTCGCCTCGGCCCCGGCCGAAGCGGTCAGGGGTTCCACAAAACCCGGCTCCCTGCTCCTTTTCAGAGACCCTCCCCCCACTGCCGGCCATTTCAGGCAATCCAAGACAATTTCCTCCATGTTGTTCCAAACCCACTGGGCCCACCCGCTCCCCCCGCTCGACACCCTCCTGGCATGTCCTTCCTCCGTCCCTTTTTCTATCCGCGCGGCCGTGCCCGACCACCTTGATTTCCTTAACATAGCAAAAGCTGTAACATGCCTCAAGACCTTAGTCTGATTATTGATTATTCAGGCCCTACCTTAAGCTTCTGACTCCTCTGCAAGAAATGATGCGCAGAGCTGGGGGTCTGGCAGGAGCTCGCCAAGAGAGTGGCATCCAGTCCGGGTCCATGCTTTAAGGTCTAGGGTTTAGGTTTCAGGATTTGATGCTGCTGCGTGCTTGGAGAGTAACTCCTCGTAGTTGGTCTGCTTGATCAAAATGGGGTCTACCTATACTATTCTTTTTTGGTTGGGGGGGACTCTCATTATAATTTTAGTAAGTTTTAGTATAATCTACCCCAAGACCCTATTCTAGTTATAAAGGCCCCTACATTAGTTCCGGCATTTCTGGGCTGCAGCTCGCAAGGCATCTGACATTCTGTGGCGGCAGGGTGGGAGGAGAGGTTCCGGGGGCTGGCGTTCACTTCTTGCTGCCAGACTTGAACCGGCCGGCCACTCAACCATGGACATATGTTTCGGGTTCGCATCTGCGAGCTTTGTTTGAGCCAACGCTTGGCACATTGACATCGCCAATGATCTATTCCTCCAAGCAAGTGCAATATGAAGCACGAGCAATTCTGAACCCCTCTCCCTGCTTCAAAATTCTTTCCAACCTTGCCATCAAGCAATGCGCAGCTGGGAGCTCTTCTGGCTTCATGTTTTCTATCAGCGTCTGCAGCTTTGAGGACGAGTGAGGCTTAATCGTGCTATTATGCTGAGGCACATATCGCGCAAGGCACTTCGCCAGGCGTGGCTATCCAACTTACCCATCTCTGCTCTCTATCGGATGCTATCGCAAGACGTTCTGGGCTGCACCCTGCAGCATGCCCTGCACGTCCATCGCACACAAACCTCAAGGTCTTGCGACAGTGGCACGCAGATCAAAAGAAGACGAATGCTGCACTGATGTATACACAATCACCGCCTTCCCCAGGTAACTCCAGGGTAGCTTCTTCAACAACCGTCTCGTCCAACAATCAGAAACGATTTCACCAAACATCATATGTGGCTTTTGTCGAGCAGTTGAAACCTGAAACCGCTTGCATGTGTACCCTCTGTTTGCTGCAGGCCGGACGAATAATGCACGACATAAGAATAAGCTGGACAGGAAGATTTCTTCTGCTCCACGCTTTCAGCCCTGGTGCTCGTGGGTGTTTATTATGCAGAAGCAGAAATCGCCAAGCCACCATCTTTGGCACAGAAGCCCGGCTTGCACTGGCAGGAGCCATACCTTGGTCTTTGGCTGCGAGCCAAGAGAAAAGAGCAGTAGTGGTACTTGGCAGCTGCAGTCGTCGTCGTCGTCCTTGCGCTGCCGGAGGCCGGTATCGTAGCTCTAGTCACTAGTGGTACTGACAACAACAACAAAAGCCTGAATCAGGTCATCTCCGAAAGCCTCTTCTGCCAAGCAAGGGGCGTGCATGTAGCGGTAAAGCCCAACCTGAGCTGATGTGTCTTGGACCTTTTCAAAGCGAGTTTTGAGAGGATGAGGCGCATCCAGCCGCAGGACGGTTAGCTCACGAGGTCTCTCTGTAAGCCGCAGCAGCTTATCGTGTAGTCTACCTTAAGTCTTCGAACCGAGTCACTGCTGCTGGTTCCCGCACTGGCCCCAGCAAAGACCCACATATCCGGAGCAGCCTCATAGGGGACTGACCGCCCGGTGCCTACGTTCCCCGTCGTGAGCTCCACATGATTCCAATATGCGATGATCACGAACCATTTCATTCGTTAGAGGACGTATAGGCCACAGCATTATCCTGTCTTCCATGTCGCTTGAGTGGAGGTCGCGCCATAAGCTCTGCAAAGTTCAAGAGCGCCGGGTAAACGAACATGTTCGTTCTGTTCGCGCGGTGGACGCCGGAATGTAGCGGTCGGAACAACTGGGAAGAATCTCTCCATCTAGCCCCATGCAAGTATCACACTGGAGTACTGATATACTGTATATTACTGTATGCTAGTTGTCGAGGTCCGGCATATTTTCGGTAGGATTTCGGGTTAATAAGAACCCTGCGGAATAGCATGGTCAATCATTCAGGCGCCTCTATTTTAACCCTAAGCCCTAAACCCCAACTCTTACAGTAGGAAGACCTGGCCTCCAGAGCCGAAGATGGAGCCGAAGACTCCGCCTGGATAGGGATTGGCGTTTTAGGGGGTTCTAGGGGTTTTCGGCGCTCACACTCGGACTTGCCTGGGCGAGGTTCCCGGTACACGGTCTTAGGGTTTGGGCTTTAAGGATTAGCCTCTCACCTTGGCTTTTGAGGCTGGACTGGTTTAGGGATCCTAGACAGGAGTCGGCTGTTAGATACAATGCCCAGCGAACCTCAGCTTACATGTGCATCTGGCATATTCGTTCAAACCCGCTGCAGAACAACGCGGACCGCTTCGGTGGCATCTGTACAATTGCAGCAGTGCGCTGACTACAACTGCGGTCGCCCTGTCGTAAGGGCCGAGCTCACTGTGTCCCAGACACCCTCCAGTGCCTAGGTGTCAAGGCAGCATCATCTGATCGAGACGGCCGTGGTGGAAGAGCACCCCCTTACGCAACCAAACACATGCTGGGACCAGCGGCGCCGGCAGCGTCGGCGAGGCCGGGGACTTTCGCGGCTACTGCGGTCACCTTGTGAAAGTTGAAGGAATGCCCAAGTTAAGGATGCCGGAGCCCAGTCTTTCCATGTGAAGCAAAAACCACGATCACGAAGGTAGTGTGGTCTGTGGTCGGTAAGAGCGTTTGTTTCGCTGTCGGTGCATCTGGGGTGTTTCTCTTCTGAGCCCCCCCCTCCCCTCCCGGCACCAACAGCAAACAAAAACACCCCCCGCAACAACAGCACAAAAAAAAACACGCGCCCCCGCAGCAACGGCAAAACCAAATTCGCACCAACAGCAAAAAGTACGGCCGACAGCAACATAAAACCCACTGCGTGCGTCAGTGTTTTTAGCCGTTTCGGCCCGGACGGGCCGTTCACTCACTTGCCGGTTGGCCGCAGCTTCAGCGAGAGAGCAAAACAACACAAATGCACCAACAGCCAACAAAAAAGTTGGGTAGTGTGGTCGCTCTGCACATACACCATCATGATATGTACATCTCTGATTTTTGGTGGACTTCTGAATAAACCTGATCAGAGGAATCCAGATGTATGTGCCTACACGTATAAATACATGTCCACACACACATATATACATATACATATATATGTATATATATATATATATATATATGTGCATATATATGTATATATACACATATATGCAGACACATACATACATACGTACATGTATGCCTACGTACGCACGTACATACGTGCATATGGACTCACAAACGAAAACGTAATAAACATCTCTAGTACACAAGAGCTGAACAACCAAACTGAGTAGTCCCATAAACCAATAAACTGTGTATTCATGTTTGTGAATGTACATATGCGTGTGTATATAGATGCATAATGTATATATATATATATATACATACAGAACTACACGCATATACACAATAATAATGACAATAATAATAACACATACATACATACATACATACATACATACATGCATACATGCATGCATGCATGCATGCATGCATGCATGCATGCATGCATGCATTCATGTATATATGTATGTAAACACTTGTACCCACGTGTCCTTATATTTGGCTATGCATTCATCGAACGTTCCATGTCGGTGCAAGCCTGGTCGACGACGCCCGTAGCACCGTTCCCCACGGCATCTCGGATTTCACTGACCGACCACTGGCACTTGCCTGGCCAACTTGTGTAGTTACCAGCCATCATCGTGAGAGCAGTGTGGGACTTGCGAGAGTAGCACTGACGGGCAGTGGAGCAGGGGCACTACCTAGCAACGAAACGAGGGCCAGGGCAGGACATTTGGGATCTTGTCTTTTTCTGATGCGAGTCTGGTAATGCACCGCTTGCTGAGGCTGCTAATGCTGATTGAGAGCTACCGAACTGCAGCATGTGGTGCGCGACTCCTCTTCTTCCTGTCCAGGGACCTTTCGGGTACAAACTTCAATTCTAGCCAGCAGCATTCCACTGATGACATGCTTCATCGAACTGCACAGCTACCACAAAGAAGGCCACTTCCTCGTGCTTTCGGTCTGCACTATAAGGTCTGCCACCACATCCCACCACAAGGCATGGCATGGGTAATGCCAAGGCCTGCTACGGCTAGGTCACTTTTGAATCCGAGAGCCCCTTGAGAGGAAGCCTCAAGCTCAGTTGTGGCACAGTTATGCAATCCCAGGGGTGCCCATAGCATGTGCTCTGCGTGATGGCAGTATAACATGACTGTCCAGGTT